CTTTAAATGCTTTAAAAATTCTTGAAGTGAATTTGTTTTTCAACATGGTCAGTCGTTAAATCTAAAATTTAAAATATACAGAATAACCGAATTCCATTCCTATAAATTAATAAAATATTTATCTCTCAATTACATTGTATTGATCGTTATGTGCGGTTCAGGTGGACTCTCTACAACAAAATTGAAGGAATCGAAAAAATCGTCTTTGAGAGAGAAATCACCGCTGTAGCATGGGGGAATAAGAATTCGATGCAGTCTATAGGACTAACAAGAAATTCGTCATACAAAGAAAACCCTTGTAGACAAGGTATAGTCCACCTGTATGCCTCTTCATCTCTGGAAATGTTTGTCTCTCTTTGTTTGCATTGCCCGTTATCTTGTTGTTTCAAGTCATAAAAAAACTGAAAAGTGAAATTTCCAAACATATCATTTTTTTATTGTTGGAAGTACATTTTTACAGATTTATTAGAGCTCAGCTCACAGGAAGACCAGCAAATTCAACGACCAGCAGCATAATATCAAGCTACGTTTAATTGCCAAGCATATACTGTATACTCGTACCGTTCCTTCACAGCGCATATAAACAGCATCCCCCTATAAGTGGCATATCTATAAATACTGTTGGCGTCATCAGGGAAAATGTAGTGCAAAGTTTTTGGTTGTAAAATACAGTGAGACCCCCACATGCGGACACCTCGACCTGCGAACAATTCGACATAGGGACACTTAATTTATTATGAAAAATTAATAAAAATGACACAATATGAGGAAACTGACTCAACATAGGGACATTTCGTTATAAAATTGCAAATACATTTCAGGCAAAATTACAAGAAACAGATATATCCAGCCCTAAAATTGATGTAAGAAAAGTTCTTTGGCATTTCTCTCACCAATTTATCATCCATTTAGCTAATTTAAAAAAATTGCCTCCAGCAGAGAGGGACTTCCTTCTCTCTTTTTCGCTTGAATATTTTTTTAAACAGAGAATGCCAACATTTCTATGTACTGTACCGGGTATCAGTATTAAATTCCCCAAATGCCCATATTGTGTTGAAATATATTGATTGGAATCAGTTTAACCCTTCCGCGGGGACAGGCTCTTTCCCATTGCGGGACAAAGTACGGATTTTCTCGGGTGGGTCCAAGTTTAAATTTTGTTGAAGGCCATGAAAGCCCAGCCAGGTGGCCTAGGGCAAAGTCGGAATTTATCCGGCAAAAATGTGTTGTTGTGATTTCCCAAAGTCAGACTTTTTCCGCTAATCTTTTGTGGCCTCTAAATGGGAACCCTTCTTCTGGTGACGTTTTACTTTCCCGGTTCTTCGACTTTTATTATATTGATTAGGTCCCTACTCTACTTTTTTTCGAGTCGGAAGGAGATGGCTTTTTTTCATTTTTGGGCAAAAATTTTCTGCAGTATTTAAAAAATATGCCAGGATTTTTCCCGACTTTGCCCTGGATGCACTGTTATGATTTTTTTTAAAAAGCTTCTCTCACTGACACCAAATTTTGTGGAAAAAGTCCAACTTTGCCGCCCGCCAAGGGTTAAATTGGGAGAAAATTTTTATTTTCATGGAATTATGGTGAGTATTTTGTACATAAAACACCGATTAAAATTATTTAATGTAAGTCTAAATGAGACTTGACTTGGGGACACTCTTGATGCACCAATTACGTCCGCATCTCGGGGTCTCACTGCAATAACATCTCGAGCTCGTAGAAAAATAAAAAAAGACTGATTTTGGATGACAACAAGGTTGTCGAGCTTCTTGAAACGGCGTCTGCCTGACCGCTGGGTTCGCGCTTGCGCGTCTTCCGGGATCTTTTTCTTTCTTTTCTTTCCTGGGCTCGCCAGGAGTCGAAATGCGCCCAGGCGATTTTTCGCCCGCCGGGACTTGGCCGTTACTGTCAACTGTTTGCTTTCACTCCTTGCACGAGGCGAAAAATATTCATCCCTCATCCAGCAGCAATTGCCGAGAGCATGGGCTAAGGATGGGTATATACACTCTTCAGCATGTCCGTATGCGAACGCCAGAGAAAGAGAGAGAGAGAGACCCGAGTATAGATTTTGAGATGACCCCTTCTCGACTCGCGGGGTAGCGATTTCCTCAGTCGCCTGTCAACATAAAATCCTCGTGCAACAAATCTATGCGAGAAATGACGCAACCCATCGTGAAGTATTTCCATGCGCAACATTCATAATTCTTGGATTTTCCGCGGTTGTATAAAAACCTTTTCATTTTACTTTCTGTACGCAGGAAGAGCGACTTCAGGCTCGCGTTCAGAATCTTTGGGATGCTTGAATTGATGATGGCTACGATGACGCTCATAATTTTGGTTTTATAAGGCCAAAATCAGCCTATAACGTTTAACAAAGTCGTGTGTTTGACTCAGTTTCCCCACAGACTTCATTTACTCCGCGAAAAGTTATTATAAGCAAAAATAACACACTTTAGAGCAGTGTTACCAAATAACCTTGTTCCAAGGACTGGCGCCAGTCCACAGAATTTAAATACTTGCTGGTCTGCAGGAAATTTTCTCCAGCATAATAAATTCATCAAAAGTAGCAATAAAGTCTGTTATTTTTTTTATCTAAAATGTTGGAAAGAATACAGCATTTAAAATTGTCTGATAAAAAAAGCAAGTTCGCTTTTCTTCTAATTATGCTTCAAACAGTTTTACCTGTTGTAATAAATTATTTTAATTTTTCATTCTGAAAGCCATTTTGTCAAGCTCACCTTTCTATTTTTTGGATGATATTCAACTAAAGCTCCTTCATTGGTGCTTGCGTTAATTGTCGCCAAAAAGCAGAAATTGTTTAAATACCTACCATAAAGGCTTTTAGGAAACTTTTTCGAGCGCGCAAATTTTTTTTAAAACGTTGCAGATCCTCATAAAATGTTTTATAAATTTGCTGGTGAGCAGGCCCAACAAGTTTTGAAACATTGAATTATAATTTCAAGGTGCAAGGCAGGACTGCTGCAATAGAATTTTATCCTCAGCTTAAGTGAACATAGACTTGCATTCTGTCTTGGATCTACGTGTCTAAAGAGAATTGTGACTCGGAAGTATTTTTCGGAAGAAAGAAACTTATTTCAAAATAGTGATAAAAACTTTTCAAGGATCTCTCGTCGTGTATGGTCTTAGCCATGCATAAATTGTGTCGATTTGAAGACCACTATAACAAACTAACTCGGGAGCCCTGAAGTCAGGCAATCTAAGATTAGGATTATAGTTGAATGTTCCTGAAATTTTCAGAGAAGCTCCTTCAACAACTCAAAGAGACGATGCAAATTTCCATCCATGAAATAGCATACGGATTATTCCGGTCTGCGACAAGAAAATTTGACGATAGCACTCGCAATTGGGAAACCAGGGGATCAGTTCCGAAAATAATGTCGAGCTTTCTTCGCAATCGCAAAGAAAGGCTAAATAATTTATGGTTCTCAAAGCTGCTGCTGTGTAGACCTGCAAAAAATCGCCATTCGATCGGACATTTATCCCAGTTACGAAGCACACGCAGAAAAAAAAAAGGATTTATGTTGAACTAGCCCATAGGCTGTTCTGGAGAACAGAAACGTCCCGGAATAACAAGTGCTCCCGGAAAAAAAAGTTATTTCTCCGCAGTACGAGTTTTGAAGTCCTTGACGGTGTCTAAAGTTGAGATTTCTTTAAGAAGAAAATTCAGGAAGTTATATGTTGCTTCTCCTCCACGGAACATAGATACAGTACTTAAAAACAAAATCAACAAACAAACAAACAACCAATTTTTTGTTACACCAGTTCGAACGGAAGGTCGCCAAAGTTTTCGAAGGCCAACATGCGAAATGCTTACTCAATTTGAAGTTCTCGGAGCCAGTATTTCAGCAAGTTTTCGAATTGCTCATATCTCGGAAACCCGCTGCAAGGAACGTGCTCTCTTTGGACTGACATTATGCAAATATTCACCCATATAGGCGAGGTATTTGCTTCTGCGCTATATTGCGAGCTGACGCATTTTTGAACCACTTTTTATGCAAACGATGCACGTCTTGCGGAAAGGGCTCGTATGCAGACAAGCGTCGCGCGTGGCAACCATTCAGTCGCCAAATTTCTTCTCCTAGCTCATGCACTTACGAATGTCAGATTTTATAGCCATTAAATCCCAAAATTATCTTCATCCGCTGTGAAGGATAAAAAAAAGTTTCACGAAGTGATCGGGGGTACGAGAGTATTCGAAAATTAGCATTATCAACATCATCTGAAGAAATAATTTCCAATTTCCGTTGGGGAAAAATTAAAATTTATATGATTTTTATGATTCCATTTTGTGTTGCAAAATTTCAGTGCATTCGTTTACTTTTCCAAAAATAATCGCAATCTTTGAATTATATGGGGTGTCATGAAGCATTACAAATCGGTTCTCATGTCTTCTACAACAATCTTTTCTACAACGATTTTATCAGTACTGTACAGTATAGCGAATTTTGTGTGGTCGCGTAGAGTTCTCTCCACATACAGTATTATAAAGGTTCTCTACATCAAAATCAACTCTTAATCTAATTTTCTTGAAGGTCCCGTGTCTTCTGTTTCAGAGACTTTCTCTTAGACCCAAAATACGGTATGTTTTAGACATGGGACGCGAGATTTGTCTGCGGTTTTATGAAAATACGGAACTGTATGATACTGTACCCTAAATTGCCGTTATCTTGATATTTATATCAAGAAAATGTTTCCCGAATGAAATCGAGACGGGATTTGTCTCCTCCAGGCTTCAGGCAGCAGCTGAGGAAAACGGAAACAAAAGCGTCACGATGAAACAAAAACTATAACATTGCCGGCTGAATCTTAGTCAAACTTCGGTAGAGGTCACTCAACACTATCACAGCTGAGACAGATCATGACAAAAAGTCTGGAAATGTTTTCTCTTCATGCAGATATCCTGTTCCTCATACAAAATGACACATTTTCACAACCTCTTCCTGTGAATATTTCTCACTCATAGAAAATAAGTATGAAGATCTGCAAGTTATAATACTGTATTTTCGAAAGGTCGGAAACAGCTTCGGTACATGGATAAAAATGAGAATTTCGTTGAAGATAAGTTTTCGCGGAGTCCAGTAAAGAAACTAACAAACCAAGTCCCTGTTTCATTCATACTAAACCAGAAGTAATATGCATTCCTTATTTCAGCATGCTATCCAAGTTCTGCATTTTCACTCGGTGTATATCTCCAGCAGAAGTTTCGCGATTTTGATGATCAGTTCTTCGAAGATTGTTCGGATAATTTATTTTCCATAGGCAAAAAATCATCGAATCATCCAAAATTATGTGCGATTAAAAGAAAACAGCTGCCACGCATACTCATTCATTTGCAGAACATTTTTCATAGTTCATGAACTTTTGCAATTTTCTGCTTAATCTCAGTTCAACTTCAAACTCTTCAAACACTTTACCTATACAGGTGGACTTTCTCTCTACAACAAAAATGTGTGGGAAGTATGGGAACGCAGAAAAAATTCGTTATAGAAAGAATTTCGTTGCAGAGAAACTCTCTAAACAACGATATCCATATCGGACCAAAAAATTTGTCGTACAGATAAACTCGTTGTAGACAAAATCACCGTAGAGAAAGAGTCCACCCGCATTTAAAAACGGTTCACGAATGGCACTGAAGTTTCAGATTGGCCAATTTTGATTTCGAAAACATGGAAAAGAGCCAAAATCGGGTTTTGTATGAAAAGCTTCAATGTTGCGTGTTGGAAAATTATGAGGAAAATGTGGTCATAAAATGCGGGATGACCGAAAGAGGATTCAAATCGGCAGTAAAATATTTCAACAGCACGAAATACATTTTTTTCTGATCTTTGAAACACCGAGAATTTCTGCTGAACAAATCATCAGAATATCAGTGCTTTTCGGGGGGTAATAATTGACAATTCCAAATGAAACCGAGTTATTGATGGCGGACTCTCTCGAAAGCATTCATAGCGCGGGGTCTTACGATTTGTAGAATATCAAAATTCATCGGATAATTCAAATTAAAATCATCTAAGCACAGCCGCATTCATCGACGCGCATTTTGGGAAGATCTCGCTTGATGATCCGTTTCTTTTGGTCGTAATAAATGAGTGAAATGGAGGAAAGCTTGGTGGGCGAACAGCACGGCGAAAGTGCCTCGTAATACTCCTCGTCCGTGCCCTGGAACAAGTTGCGATAATCCTTGAGCACGTGCGTGTTGAAGTGCGCAAAATTCGGCTCCCTGCACTCGCCGAAGCAGTAATTGGCAAAGTACCCGTCCGGGTACAAAATCCACTCGTCCCAGCCCAGGTCCTTGAAGCTGACGAACAACCGACGCACGCAACAATTCCGTCTCGCCACGTCGGTGTCGTCACTGCCGCCGTCGTCGTCGTCGTCGGGACACGTCGCTGATGCCTTTCGCTTCCGTCGTGACTTGGCCGACCGCTTTGAGGCGATGACGAAGTAAGGAGTGAATGCGGCGGAGTTGGTGTCGCGAGCAAAGTTGCGACGCTTGAGCCAGACTTTCGTGCTGCGCTCGTCAGTGGTGTCGAAGTCGACAGGCGGCATTCCGGTTTCGATGAGTCCGTGACAGCCGGCGCAGTCGACGAGCAGCGTGAGCTTGTCATCGATGATGAGGGGATCTCCGGATCCGCCGGTAACGTTAGCCTCGGGCACGGGTCGGGCTTCCAGGGTCCAGTTGCGAATAGCTGCTGTGAGATCGATTGTTTGCCACCCCAACGTCTTCAGTGTCACTCCCAGGGTTCCGATCAGCTCCCAGCCGTTCATGTCTTGGACCTAAATCGGGGGAAAGGAAAAATTCATCACAGCTCGATTGATTGTTGGTACAGTAACAATTAAAATTAAAAGGCAAGAACATCATTTTTCAGACTCAAAAGTGACCCTTTTGATCATCTGTTTCATCGTCAACTTTCTATAAGCCTTCAGAGCGCGAGAAAATTTGAAATAGGTTGAACCTGTACATAAAAACAGTAACGATATTTTTTTTATCCAACCTGTAATTTTTTTTTTTCCTTTTCGAGAGAAAATTATGGTAAAATCCAAGATTTAATATACAGTAGTTCGTCGGAAAATATCTCGCTATATTTGTCGTGGACATAACAGGACTTGCGATTAACATCTTCCCGTTATCCATGAAATTTTTCCACACTACAGCTTTGAATTCAGCAATTTCTTCCCAAGTGATCAGAATTTTCGGTCAACCTCTTCATTCAATCTTGGTCAACACACGAAACCGCTATTTGCATTAACATGTCCGATACTTTTCCGATTTCGGTGAAATTATCTGGTAAAATATTTTCAAAATTTTCGAGATTTCAGCTTTTAAATTTACAAAATGCATAAACCAAAGAAGTGAACGAGGGTTAACCGAATTTTATCTCAGTGACTACTATGTGATGTTTCAAGCCTGCCTTTTCTGATCAATTTTAACCTGCATAACCAAAAACGTGAAAAAATTGTTACGAAATGATGAAATGCAACTCATTGAAAACTATTTCAATCTTCATCCTTCATTCATCGAAGGAAAGTACAGCCCAACTCTCGTATTTTCAGTTCGTTATACGACAAAAATGTTATTTGATATAAATAAATTACCAATGCGCAAACATAAAAAACCTAGATTATTGTTCATTGCTTGAATTTTAATGTCGTTTTATTATTCATGTACAGTTACTCGCTTCGTAAATTTAACATTAATTTTAAACCGTTAATTACATGAGTGGAAACCCATCTATCAATTAATTAGTACTGTACTGATTTTTCTGAAAACCTATACATCAATATTTCGCATGGAAATCATATCCGCATATATTTTCAGACTTTTCCTTTCAGCATTGAGAGTTGCCAATGTCACGAAAATATGGAATTCAGCTATATTACGGATAATGTGAACTTTGAGAGTATTATCAAACAGCTTGAATAAATTTTGATTACGTATCACATCAATGAAAATTGTAAAAATATTTCCTTTGAGTTTGCTCGCGATGTGATCATATGCATCATTCGTATAATCGCTGAGAACTCCGCTTTTCTGAAAGCAGAAAATTCATGTTTCAAAACGTATTGCGAAACCATCATCGGGCGTACGCACCTGAACAGGTGGGCAAGTGAAGGAATTGCAAGCGGAAGCATTGAATTCCGGAAGAGTTCGCACTCTGAAAATGAAAACCTTCGGGCGGAAGTCCCGGCGGGACTTCCGGAACTCCTTGATGTACGGGCTTCGGAAGCGCAGGTGCAGCCACAGTTCGGCGGATATCACATCGGTTTCATCGGGGATTTGATTGCGGTCCCTGGTGAACTGGATCAGTCGCTGGTTCTCGAAGAATGGACCTGCTGGTTATTGGCACCGATATCACGAACCGTCATAATTTATTCATCGTGACGAGGAGTATTATTATTTGTGAACCGGTCAACCCGCAAGTTTCAAACGCAATACGGTACTGATGGTCTAAGATAAGCGCGGCTGGGATTATTTGTTGACATGAGTCACCTCGATTACTCGAGGGAACCTTGCCCGGGGGGGTTCCATAAACAAGCTTTAAAATATACCGAACGACTTTTCTGAGACGTTCGAAACCTATTAATATACGGCTACCTGACCAGTTTACTCATGATTCTGAATTTTTGATTCTTCGTGGACAACAGCACCCGAAACGTCAGCTGGCAGCATTGAAGTGAATATGTATACGGGTAGAAATGAAATTTTTAACATAAGAGTTTTTCTTCAAAGCCATCGATGTTTTCCATATGAATTTTTTGCATCTTGATCTGCGTAATCACTGTGAACAAGTGTTCTCGCTTGAGAAGAGTTCGAAAAATGCATTTACAGCCTTAATTTCATTTTAGATAGAAATGCGTCGTTGGTGCTCAAAAATGGACGGAATTCTGTATTTTCAGGGCTCATAAATATTTGAAACTCTGGCTAATTATGATATCTACCCAAATTCCTCAAGTGCAACTCATGGGAATTAGAGAGCAATGTTTTTGTAAGGCATCATGATTTTTTCAGAAAAATTCACGCTCTTATGTGAGGTTGGTATAGCATACTCAATTCTAAAAATCGAGAATTTATCGGAATTATTTCTAGCAGGTGGATTACGATATTAGATCAATCAGGGCACGTCGATGAACGACTGGTTGCAGTTTGTATAAAAACGATGCTGAGATTTTTTTAGTGAAACGTAAGAAAGTCAGTAATGTTCTCCTTTTTCGTTGAATGGAAATTCTTATTACAGTTTAAATTCTCATGTAGTTTTTGGAAATCAGCACAAGAACTTGATGATTTAGAAATGCTGTAGGTGGGAAATTTTAATAGTGCTGGTCTGAATAGGAATACTATGACATATTCTATACAATCTAATTTTCCAGAAGACATCTCGTGTATATCATGTGAAAGATGCTCACAGGTTTTCCAGAGGTAAAAGACAAAAACCAGATAAAAATTACAGCACGCTACTTGCCATGAAGTGAGAATGATGATCATTAAAAACCCGTTCAGTGTATGAGCATAACTTTTTCTCGTTTTTCAGATTTACAGTAAATTCTGGAACTTTTCAGACTTTTACATTTATACATCACGTTTATCAATTTTAGGCCACTCAAGGGTGTTGATTCTGTCATTTACTAAATTTAAAAATACTTCGCTGTCAAATTCTGAAGAAATTTTTGATGCGAACCAAATTTCGTCTGGATTAAATTGCGACAGGAGTAAATTTTCCAGAGGTTAACTGCGCGATTGGATGAATATAATGTAGCCAAGGGCCATGGTGCTTTTAAAAAAATCCGTGCATAATATCAAGCTATAATACCTGTACGTTATATCCCGTAATATATTACCTTTTTTCTACCTATTTTTTTTTTGCACGATCATTCAGCAATCCTGATTGGAATCGCTCAAAAAATGTAACTTTGTTCGTCTATTCGGTGCAGTATTTGGACCGAAAACGATAATAATAGCTCTTAAATCCAACATGAAAGGACGTATCTATACTGTACTGTAATTAAAATTCCAATGTAGCAGCCAGAAAACCCAGAATTCGTTTAAATCCGAAGCTTTTACGGAGAAACAAAAATATCTACATGTCCTTCTGCGCTAAATTTAATCCCAACCAAAAACTTACCTCAGCGTTAATGTGCGTATATCATGGGTCCCCGAGAAGTTAACGCATTCTCTACTTTTTTATCTTTTTTTTTGCGAATGAACAACCCTTCTCCAGCAAATTCTACTAAATATTATAGTCTACGCAGTTCTTATCTGACATTTTCGCTCAAAATCTGGATTTAGTCTATGTACACGACCGCGTAGGTCGTTGCAAAATATTTAAAACCGTGATTTTCTAAATCACTGTTGCATTTGATTAGTAGTACTGTACTGAGGTTGCTACAGCGAAAAAAAATGAAGCTTGTGAAGAAAGTTCTATAAATAACTTATGCGTGGAAAATGGAATAAAAATCTGACCTTAAATGCGTTGATCAACAAGTGCATGTCGTTTAAAAATTAGATTAGCAATTACGTGCTGAATCTCAGTCCGACCATGACACGATGGTACCGTTACGCAATGAATATTTTTCATGTCTTGAGTGGTGTAGTTCGTAAAAATAAATTTAAAAGAGAAGCAGAGTAAAATGCTTGAAAATAAGCCAGGATTTGGAATACCGGGAAGACTTTCCATGCGACAATCATCAGGATAATTTAATTTTGGAACTCTGATGATTGCATACGAAGCTTTTAAAGAAATTTCGTATAAATAAGCTACATAGACACAGAGAATAAAAATGTGACCGGAAGTTGAATAAGAAGCGCATGTCGTTTAAAAATCGACACACAGTGATTATAGCAAATACGATATGAACTCAAACACCGTAATCACTGTCAGACCATGATGACGCGATGCTGCAGTAAATACAATAAATATTTTCCACGTCTTAAAAGTGGTGAAGTACAGAAATAAAAATTTAAAATTGCAGTACAGTAAAATGGTTGAAAATATGCAGCGATTTAAAATACAGTATGTACTGGCAAGACTTTCAATCCGAAATATATACACAGGCAAGACTTTCGATCCGATAAGCATCAGGCGAAAGGAATCATTACAGATTTAAATGCTCGACACAGTACCGTACTATATATTCCAGCGGTATTATTAGGATCGTGAATGATCATTACAGTCACCTGCTGATGCAAACATGACCGTTTCTATTTCCTGATCGAGGAAGTCCTCGCCGGAACTGGTTCCGGACCCGTCGCCCGGGTCTCCTCGCAAGTACTCCGCGTCACTCGCATCGGCGTGCCCTCGGACCCCACTGGCCGTCATCAGCAGCTCGTTGGTGTCCGGGTTGAGGTCATCCGAACCCGCCGAGAACCGCGTGAGCTGGTTCCCACTACCGGCGGCGGCGGCGTTGGTCTTCCTGCTGTGCTGCAGCAGGCCGCCCGAACCCCCGGCCGCCCTGGACGAATAACCCAACTCCTTCCGCATCAGACTATCGACGACCAGCTCCCGCGAGATTTCCTCTCGCAAATCCAGCTCCGGGAATTTCGGCGGCTCGTTCATGCCCAGTCGTCGCAGGATTTCGAACTTCGCTCGCTCCAGCTTGTACGCGTCGACGGACCGCGGCGACAGTCCCGATCGTTGTCGCGCCACGCACGCGCGACACACTTCCGCGTTCACAACGTCCACAGCGCCGCCGCTGAATTCGTGTTGGTGGCGCCGGCGGTGGCGGCTGATGCTGGCGGCGGCCATGTCGACGAAGAGCAGGGCGAGGACCAGCACTGCCGTGGCCGAGTAGTGCGCGACGACGGGAGACGACCGACACTGCTGCAATAACGGATGGCTCAGGCAAGTGGGGAAAGGAGCAGTGCGCATATCTGTCGAGCCGACTGATGCGCAGCACCACCACACAACACGAGCCGGTTCCCCGCGGACATAACTCTGCCATCCACGGAGGAGGCGCCGCTTCTGAATAAGCCGCTAGACTGCCGGCATATGGGCTCAGCACACCACTTGCTGGAGAAAGGAACTGAAGCAAGGAGACCTTCGGGTGCTGGACTTGCCTGTCATACGCGCAGACAGATTCACGATGATGTGGAATAATACGCAAAGGGGCATCGTGATGAGATTTCTCATTCGCGCAGTTATTCTAGCGCTTACTATACCCGCACGGCGTTTTGTCCATAACAGTATACTGTATGTCCTAACCTTTTCGGACCCCTGGACTGGCAGATTTCCATAACATTTTCTGCAGACAGGAACGTTTCTATGGAAAATAAAATCCGCAGACCTACAAAAAAAATTTGCAAAAATGTTGCCAGTTCATGGACCAAGGGTTGAGGAAAATAGCACATTTATAGGTGGACTGACTGGACTCTCTCTTTACGAAGACTTCAAGGGGCAAGAAAAAATTGTGGGAAGCATTTTGATGCAGAGAATCTTTGTAACGCGGGTATAGAGAATCCTATTGAACCAAACAAGAATTTGTTATTCACAGAAAATTGCTGTAGACAAGATTGTTTTAAAGAGAGTCCACCTGTATATAAGACGCACATTTCCAATCAAACAAAATTAATACAGTGATGCCCTGGGATGCAGGTGTAATTCATGCTTGGACCTTGTTCCTATATGTTGGAATCTCCGCATGTTGGATCACATTTTCCAATAGACTTCAACAGGAAGTTATATTCAATTGGTTCTCCAGTTTATTACAAATTAGGAATCAATCCTCAAAAAAATTAATAAAATCTACATCTCACCTTGAAGATATGGAATAGAACTTCGCAGAAGGAAACCGCATAAAATCTGATCTTTTGGCAGGAAAAGGACTCCAAAAAATGAAGAGAAAGTACTGGTATTTCTGTATTGTGCCCATAGGATGGAGAATACTTCAAAGAAGAAGCTCAAAATTAACCTGTTCTTGATTATGAATTTGGGTAAATTTATAATATAATGCATTTATATTCTTGTGAATATGAAGAGCTACATTTTAAAAAGAAATATTCAAATCTTGAAAAGTAAAAGTTTTCCATTTTTCTATAGAAATGTTGGAGAAGTGTTCATGTCTTGAAACATTATATACAAATGTTGAAGCAGATTTTTTAAAGTTTCAAGTGTACAGTACCCAAGTCAAATAATTTTTATGCTGGAGTCTCACTGAGTTAAGCCCCCACTAAAAGATACCTAAACTTACACCCAAGTTGATTTAGGGACACAAAACTCAAACATTTTAATTGAATTGAACTGCAAGCTTTATTTTCCACTTTTCAGCATTCACAGGTTTCAAGCAATGCTCCCATATCCAAAACCCTTCCCCTCCCCACCCACATTCACCCGAACACATTCTTCACATCAGAATTGTAAATAATAGGGAAACAAGCTGTGCATGGATATTAAAAGAAAATAAAGTACATCCCAAGAAGTGCAGCCACAGAACTGATATAAATAATTTTGTGATCATCATTAGAGAAGGGAAGGAAGTAGAGATATTTATATCAAACTCACACAAATCTGCTCCAATAGTTGGACAATGTCTCAAGATGCAAACACTTATTCCACACTTTCCAGAAAATTTGAATTTTTATTTTATTTCTATATCTTTATTACATACATTCATTGGCATTTTTCCAGGTTCACATGAAAACTTTCCAATCTTGTGTCCCTTCACATACAGCTATTAGATTTGGGATATAATCGACTATGAATATTCTGTGGGTGCCCCACTTATTCATCCCGCATTTCACTCAATTACTGTATGCGTATCTTGCGCTTTATGGAGCCTTGTGAAGAGCACATGAAGCCCTTGAGGCTCCATCGCGAAGAATCCAAGACTCACGGCCGTGCGAAGAAGAACACGGTGCTGCTATTTAAGGGAATGTAGGGCAAAACATTCTTTGGTAGACCAGATTTTGTTGAAGCCATTCCAAGTTTTCAGCTGTAATAATAATTATACTCCGGCCCTTCATAACAGTGTTCCCAAACCTTGTTGGACCTATACAAACCGGCAAAGTTTCATAAAACATTTGCTGACTCCAAAAATATTTTTGCTTGAATTTTATGGCAGGCATTTAAAAAGTTTCTGTCTTTTTTGCAAAATTAATAAGTCAATAAAGCAGCTACAAAGAGTCTTCAAAAATGACAAAAGTAGGCTAGAATAAAGATTTCTCAACAAAAAAAGTCAAAATAATTTCTTTCAACAAGTGAAAATTTGTCTGAAGTGTTAGAAGAAAAGTCAACATTTAATTATCATCAGATGATTCCAACTGCCATTGTATTTTTGACATTTCAGGTAAAGATAACCGACTTCATTACTACTTGTATTACTTAATTATGCTGCATAAAATTTCCTGCGGACCAGCGGGCAACTGGAAAGTCTTCACTTATCATAATGCAGTTATAATGCCTTAAACAATCTAAAAATTCGCAGCACTTGACGTCATGGACTATATTTTATTTGCAGTCATACCTACTCAAGAAATAACCAAGGTCTCACCCAAAGTGTGACAAACCTTGTAGGCAGGAATGGGTATAACAAAATAATACCCAATAATCATCGCCCATGACGCGTATCACCGTTGTCCACTGGGTTACATTACATGTATTGCGACTGTCTGGGATCCAATGGACCCATGACAAAGGAATTGAATTGTGCGGCCAATTGATCAACTGGGCAATGAGAATGAACTCCCCTGAAAAGAATTTGAGTTCTTATTCAAAACTTGCATTCTGATGGCTGCACAATTCAATTCCTGTGTCTGGGATCCAATGGACCCATGACAGCAACCAAACACCAATTGGCAACCACCTGTTCAAAACCATTGCCCACATTACAAGACCATGGTCATCATCTCATCACACCTCTTTTTTTTTCAGAAGTCATCACGGCCGATGGACACTGGAACACGCGCCTTCAATTTCAGCTTCACTTACCATTTTCGACGCCTTTAAAAGTCGTCTGCGGACCGGCGCCGGTCCGCGGAACCCGGGTTATGGAACTCCGCTCTATATTCTACAATATTAGCCAGTAGAGCTCAGCTTGCTTCACCGAAAGAAACCGAGTACAGTACCGAGAAGCCTTCGAAAAGAGAGAGAGAGGGAGAGTTCTGCCTTCCCTCCTTACCTTCGAATTTGCATTTTATGACCCTTTTCTGCATGAGAATATAGTTTTTCATCATTTGGAAATGAAAGACACAGGTGGTGACTGCTGAGTGAGGAAACACGAGATTCTTCGCGGTCTGCATTACAAGAATCAATTTGTTTTGAATTATCCTGCCAGGATTGAAACGTGATAAGAGTATGTTGGTGGTAGAAATGAGCGTTCTAAGGCCAAGATTCTCCCGAGGAGTACGTTGCACACTGATGCATATCTTGGAACAAACAAGAATCAATGACAAATGCATTGCTTCTTTGTCAGCGACGGAATAATCACAAATATTTTACATGGTTGGGATTGCACAAGAGAATTCAAGGACGATAGCTCCCATGAATGTGGAAATAAAAGTATTCTTTTCTGGAATTAATTATAGATCAAGGTCGTGGATTGGAGATATTCAAATGAGCTTGTGCTGGGGTACTAAAGTGGATATGATAACCGCTTAAAGCTGCAGGGGCACCAAAAAATCAGCCAACGGGGATCGAAGGACGTTTCCTGAGATGCAGTAATTGCTCATGAGTTGTGCAGTAGTGCAACTCTCCCTCGCAGGCACAATTGAAATTCAAAAATTCAAATGAGTTTTGCCCAGGGCTGTCAACCACTCCAGTATTTTACACTTACACAACCACTACCATTACAGATGTAGCAGCAAGGAGGAAACAAATCTTTGTAGTGATAGTAAAAAAGGGCAATAAGAAAAAAAAATGCTGATGGACTATCTTTACCACGACCTCATCTACTACATATTTCTCTCCGCAACAAATGTTTTTGTGGATCCATAGGGTTATCCCACCATGTTATAGGAGTTCTCTGCATCAAAATTATCTTCATGGCACATTGTTTTCTGGTCCCTTGATAGTTGTTACAAAGATATTCTACCTTTATTAACGGGTTGTTCGACAAAAGCATGAGCATTGGTGATGATTTAAACAAGTTTCAGAAATTACTATAAATGCTGATGATTTTGTTCTTGCAATAGACAGGTCTAAAGACAAAAATATTAGTAATTTGCACCAAGGCGATGCCCACAGAGTTTGCAGAATGCTTGAATAAATTTGCAAATACTGTATTAGTATATCATAAATGTTTATATGCCTCGTTTTCCGAATGTTTTTCCAGCGATTGCATGTTTTCAAGAGATTGGCCAAAAAATGCAGGCTGGAGATATCTGGTTTTGATTCTTTGCTCAACCAATGGAATTTATTAAAAATTATTATTCAGATGACCAGCAGAGGATGTGTGAGTGCCACAAACATGCTATTTTTCTTCCAATTTTTTGCATCATGATTATATATAGCCTTCCTCTGAATTTTACAACAACTTGGATTGCAGAATCATATTTTGAAATTATGCACAATTTTTAGGCCCAGTTTATTACAAAATTGTTTAATGTATGTCAACAAAAGACTTCGAAGAAGATAGGAATGACAAGCATTTTAAAACAACTTTGAAAAAATAAGAACCCAGAGGCAACTCTTTTCTAATCACATTCAGCACTTGGATGGCACTGGGTTCCACAAATTGTGCACGCTTGATTTTTCCTGTGACACCAAGATACAGGAAATTCCAATGCCTCCAGCATCAGCCTATGGGCCATATTTGAAAATTTTGAAAGACAATTACCCCAGTTCTTTTTAATTTTGGGGGAGGTGTGTAGTATTTCGGTACATACGGTCAATCAGTATAATCCTCTACTTCTCAATCATACTGGTTGGTTACGAGCAACCAGTACGATATTGGTTTACGACCAATTACGAACTTCACAGTTAACAACACCTGTTGGTAAAAAATACATTTTAATTTTAATAATGCCATCACCTAGACAATTTTTACATCTTCCAATATTTCTGTTGGCATGCAACAACGAGTTAAAATTTCAATAATTTCGTTTTCTATTGTAATATTTCGGTTAACTTTTAAACTACTGTATTAAAAATGTCATTGAGGGTGAAATGGTTGAGGCAGCCCTTGCCTAGGTGTCGCTTTCAGTGGCACACACCAAGGGCTACCTCAGTTCCTCAGTTTCTGCAGTTGCGGCGGATAACGCGTCGTTCGTGAAATGTCTTCTCTTTTATTTCTGTTTCATTATTTGGCATTATTCTGAATCTTTTTCTATTTCTTCATGATTTTTTTCTTATTTTATGAATTTTTAATCAAGTATCGCCTTTCGTATCGTATACTTTTACTAACATTTATGGCATTTAGAAGCCATGAGACCAGAGTTTGGAACGCAGCTGTTCTTCTATCTTTAAGAATTAAAGAAAAACCGTAAATCTAGTAGAGGTCAATTCAGTACAAAAAGTTTTTCCTTTTTTTAATTTTCGTTCTGATGTGCTGTTTGATAATCTCAAACATAATTCATCGGGTAAATTGCTTCCTTTTTGTAGCATTTTTAGTAGACAAACATGTCGAAGTAGGGGATTCGAAGTGTGGGATTCATTACAATATTTTCTACTTTTGGTCAGATATTTTGAAGCACTGCTCACCCATAAAAATTTTTTATACACCCCTGGTTATGCAAATAAATGTTATTTTTTCATTTCTTCGTTTAATTTTATTTAATTTATTCAAAACATCGCCATTTCAAAAATATATGTTTTGATTCCATTTTGAAGGAGATGAATTTTGGACTATCCAGCAGCTGCATCACATTGACGCCAAGGATATGAGAAAATAACTGCCATTTCTGCCAAAAAGTCAAGTGGCATCCTGTGCTAAAGCTGAATATTCCGAATGTTGAGTAATGATATAAAGATGGATCCGAAAAATGAAAGATGCATTCACATAGTTCTTGCAATTATTGAGGACAAGTAAGTGTGAATTATTGAACAATCTTTAACACAGTCTGCATGCTTGTGGAGTATTGGTGATTCGCTGATTATCTTTTATCTTTGTTGTACATTTTTTAAAGAATTTAAATTGAATTTTGTCCTCTCTTGTTTCGACTTGCATTGAAATTGAAATTTATCAATGCGCATGTCTTGATAGATGTGATTTGTTTGCAAGAGGATATTGAAAGTGCGAAGAAAGCAATAATTTGCATGGGATTTTTTTCCTGTCCAAGAAACAGTCATTTGGTTTTAGCTTTGGAACCAAGTGTGCTCTGAAATCTAAATCATCTTGCATCCTACAAAGCTGTGAGTAAAACTCAGATTTCCTAAACAATTCAGTCTTAACTGTTTGTTCTATATCAGTAGTCTTCAACACTCATGGTCTGTTTTCTGACGATTTTTTTTTGTAACCATTTTTGATAGACCATGTGAATTACAATCTTTGTTCATGCGTCCACTGTATAGAAGATGAGGTGAAACTGCTGCTGATGCAAGGATCTAGCTGAAAGACGTTTTGCTTCCATAGAAAAGGGCATTTCAACACATACGTTTGCAGATGTTATCAGCACAAAAGTTTGAAATTGTGCACTGGCCACTGGGTGATGTTTGTATGGAGCTCCATTCCTCTTCCAGGCTCTTGAAAATCCAGGTGGCCTAACTCCAGCAAGCATTTCTCCCTGGAAACTGCCATTGATTTTTTTCCTGTATGTTATTGGTTGTACTTTCATCTATTATAGTACTACAGTGGCCCCCCGCCTAACAGACCTCCTGTAGACCAGCTCTGCAAGCAGTTTTTCCTCCTGTCCAACAGACAAAATCTACCAAACAGACTTCTTTTGGTTTAAAATTAGTGTTGAAAATTGAAATTTTTTATGTAATTAATAAAGGACTTTTTGTCTAACAGACTTGCCCCTTGCATGAATCAAGTCCATTAGACAGGGGTTGACTGTACTGTACTACCTATAATTTAGCCAGTGGGATTCTGGAAATTAGCACACCACACAAAACCCTTGCCAGAAAAACCAGGCTGCATCTCCATATTGCTGGTAGGCTTTGGTGATCATGCTCAACTGCTGCCCTGTACATAAGTGACAGAATTAGATAATTCCCTACTGTCGTGTCTGTGTTTTACTGCAGTAATATGAGCATGTCTAGTGTGTGCATTGAAAAAAAGTGTGTGCATTCACCCAGAGGTTTTGCCACCAAGCTTGTTAGTTGAAGCTTCAAGAATGATGTAAGGCACAGATGTTGCCAGGAACAAGAACTCCCTGCTGCCCGACTTTCACGCAAAAAATTTAAATGGGGAAATTCCATGTTGGAATTCCCCTGATTGTGCAATAAACTCTTCCCTCCATTTTAAATGCTAATAATTCATCAGTCTTAAGATTCCATGCGCAGCATATGCTTTGTTGCAAGCCTCATTCTCATTTGTGTCTGAATTTCTTGTCTGATTCAAAATAGAGTGATCTTGTCTTTTGAATGTCCTACTGAGGGCTTTCCTGCCGTGTTCCCTGGCGGAGTTTTCTTCCTATTCATTTATTTATTGTGATTTATTCTAATTCATTCTTTGTGAGGGTCATGCCCCACAAATGAGACCAAGTTTCCACTCAGTTTTGTTTGTATGAGAAACAGGCATGACACAACCTCTGATCAGCCATTGTTTCTGCTCATGACACTGTCCTTCATAATTTTTGGTGCCAAAATCCTTCCAGTAGCCTGGTATCTTGAAAGATGTATGATGCGAAAATTGTGTTGAAATATTATTAAAACAGTAAATCAACAATAACATGTTCCAGGAGAGTATTAGGAAGGAAGGTCTCCATAGTTAATGTAATTAATCTTATTGTCTGTTTGTGATACAAAACCAAATAAGTCATTCTGTGTTCATTGTATACTACAGGAGCAAATCAAATGCTAAGAGAAAAACTGGGGTTTCTTTGATGATTACTTATTCCGTGCTAGCCAGGAGTTAACACAAAGGAGTACTGATAAGTCCTCAAACCCCAAGAACTTTCTGAATCAACATTACTTCTTCCTTATGTTAAAAAAAAATTTCCAGCATGGAATATAACTTCACAAATTCATTAGATTAAGCTTGCCTCATCAGATGCGACAGGCCATAACACAGTAACACATATTATTCAATTAAAAGCAGCGTGCTATAAATGTAAACCAACGATACCAAGGGAATTCTACAATGACCGGCACTTCAGCAACAACAACAAAACTTTGTAATCATCACCAAATAAAAGAGCTGCCAAACAGGTAATCCAATTCACACGTACCATCAGTTTCACACACTTGAACAACACAGCACTCTGAAATCTCTCAGATTTCACTTCAAAATACTCTTTACTCATCTGTGTGTCTTATTTTAAAATTGTATCAACTACAAAATTTTGCTAAATGCCAATCAGATCTCTGAGAGAAAAAAACCAGATCTTTGGTTAATGATTTACCCATTCTTGTGGTTCAAATGACCATTTCTGGGATCTAAGTTCAGAGTCACACGTCTGCATTGATACTTGGAATTGAGGTCCTCCACTTGGTCCCTTTTGAGCTTGCAAACACTTCCCACTTTGATTGTGAATCACTGTCATTTTCTGCAAGGAAAAAAAATAGAGCATTGGAGTATTGATGGACCTTCATTTTTCAAATTTAAAAATGAATGCGTATATGGAAACAAATAAGGGATAGGTTTCTTACAGGCTCATGCTGACAGAATAGATTCGTATCAAGCCTTTTTTAGAAGGGTAACAAGGAAGTCTTTCCTCAAGGAAAAAATGATTCATTCAACTTCTCTACTTCAGAACTTTACATTTCCCTTCAAAGCTTCTATAAACTTATCCTTTGAAAGAAAAAGGAAGCCATGTTTTCCTTGAAATGGATTCCACACATTATTAGATCTATTGATCTTTATTGGTTATTCAATTGAAAATGCTTAGCCTAAATTGACTCCTCTTATTGTGTAAACCAGTAACCCTATTGAATCAATAAAATTGTTCTCAAAATCTCAGAAATGAACGTCGAATGTTCAAAACATCAGACACAATTTTGCAACCTCAGAGTTTGGAAAAATTTCTTCTGTAGTCCGTTATTTGAAAAAAAAAATTCATTATATTCAGCTTGAATGAGTTTACATAAATGTTGTTCTACTTCATGGTAAATTATACACATACAGTATAATGATAATGAGCACAAGATAAAAAAGAAGGAACTGTGTCTCCCTTCTTGTGCATGAATCAAGCTTTTCAGTAAGATAATTTGAATACCTGAATAATCAGAGTTCGGAAAATCAAATTTATACACTAATCCAAAAATTTCAGATCAAGGTAGAATACTGTAAGGAAGCTAATAGCTGAGACGTTTAATGCACAGCAAAATGTACAGGTATGACAAGGTAAATTCAAAATGTGATGTTAGGCATACAAATAAATTCACAAATAGATTAAATGCGAAGTGCGCAAAAAGAAAGTGTTCAAACGTTTTTTTGTTGTTGAGAATTCACCTCTTGATTGTATGCCCATTTCTGTCGCTCCAAACTGCCACACATGAGAAATCTGACTTGAGGCGTCTTGAGGGTTGCATCAGGACTATCAAGGCATACAGAATCATCACTCATGATGAATCCCTTATCGGAAACAACGAATGACTGTAGGGAGTACAGTTCAATTACACATGAATCCAACGTCGGTTCTCCAGTTCCGGGTTGACCACCTTGACCCAAGGGTCTTTGCAGACATTTGTCAAGTGCCAAATTACGTATCTGTTGAAATGACATCCAAAGATTTAGACATGCTACGATTAGTTGTGGAAAATACAAAGAAACTTCTTACTTTTCCAAAGAATCTGTCTGGAGAAGGCAGGAAATTTTCTGGCCAAATGTTTTTCAAATACCACCCAAAACTTTTGCATCCAAGCTTCTTCCGCAGCTGAAGACGGTCTGTGACATTGATATGTGGTGCTAATCGTGCTGCTTCTGCAATTTTTTTTATTTCAGCAGTGATCAGCAATGTTTTCAAAAAAATGGGTCAAGCAATACACTGGTTTCGGCGTCTTAATCTACCTGAATTTAGCTTGAGGTAGAAATCGCTCCACTCGTCCATCCAAACAAGCGCAACCCGAGCAAGGTTTGAATACAACACTTCGCCAACACCTCCTTTGCGGGGAAACGTGTATGGTGACGATTTTCGAAATACATGACCCACGTGAGAACACGGAGCAATTTCTACTCGACCTCCACATTGCCATACCTGATACACAAGCCAAGACAAAATAAGTTGACACAATTGATTCACAAATGTCGCATTTACTCAAGTACCACGCGCACCAGGATTTTTCAGGCGAAAGTTTTTTATAAAAATTCTATCCCCAAGAAAGACACGCGCACTCGATTATTAGTTACTCTAAAACTGCGAGTTTTCGTAAATAATAGCTCACTAATCTGGATTTAGACATGCTTTGATCCTGAATCAAACTGATTTTCAATTATTTTCATTAGAGTAAGAGTTTCTACTGGAATTGATCGAAAATTTTTCAAAAAAAATCATGTATGATGCACACCGAAAATTCTGAAACTATTTTAACAATTTATACCCGTACATAAAGCGCATTATCCTTTTTTTCCCTGTCAATTTTGATTTTTTTTTTTAAAGGTGTACGTGGTACTCGAGAAAGCACGGTAGCCTGTACTCACCCTGAACGACATTTCCACATTTTCTCCTCCCCAGATGTCCATTGCTTTGTCATACGAACCAACGTTGAAGAAATAATCTCTGTTGATGGTGAACAGACCACCAGCCATCACAGGTGTCCTAAAAATTATCAAGTCGAGTTATTCAGTACCTTGTTAACCTTCAGGCATGACATGGGACCAAAACAAGACGCGACGTTAATGTATTCACGAACTGAAACCCTGTATGCTGTATTTTCTTTAGATAAATATACCAGAATTCATTAATGAATAAGACCGATGACACAAGAACAGGATTGTTCAAGTAAGTCGATTCTAAGCATGATTAATTCACAGGAACACAAAATACAGACGTGTATTTGCTCAATCATGCCTGTTTGGTTATGAGGTTCTTTCCACATAAACACTCATGAAATCCTTACCTGAAAGGCTTGGCTTGGTTTTTCCACCGAAGCCTAATTTCATCTTCACTAACTGAAAACCAGCGGAAATGCAGTTGCCAGTTGAATGCTCCCCAATGCAAATCAAAGCTTCGCACATATGCAAACGTTTCATCACTGATGATGTCAATTACAGGGGAGACCACAGCAGATGGATGTTCAGCCACTCTCTGTAAAAGCGGCTCCAACCAACCTGTCGATGAATGACATGAAAAAAAGACAGTAAAACAAAATGGAATAAACCATCAGTCCGATAAGTCATTTTTTAAAATCATTATTCACCTGGCGTTGTTTCACAATGAGCATCCAAGAAAGTCAACGTATCACCTGACGCATTATGAGCACCCAAAAGTCGCGCTTGGATGAGCCCAACACGAGATTTAGTACGAATAATACTTGTTTTGACTGGCAGCTTCTTGACGTGTTCCTCCAAGGATTCTTTTAAAAACTCTGTTTAGAAAACATTCGGATGATGAATGACCTCATACATTCAGTATGTAAATAATAATAATAATAATAATCCTCCACAAAACCTCACCTCTATTGCTGTCATCATCCACAAGAATAATTTCCCGCAGAAGCTGGCGAGGAGATCGACCAATCACTGAATGAACAGTTCGTAGGAGAGTTGACCAGGCTTCATTATGGAAAACTATGATCACAGAGGTGGTTGGTAAAACGTCCAAGTCATATTCAACTTCCAAACATCTGAAAAAAAAAAAAACATACAGGCAACCTTTGATTTAGTGTCACCCTCGGGTAGTGCCACAAATTTCCCGAGAAAAAATCTCCGTCCACTGTGTTCTCAAGGGAAACCCTAATATAGTGCCAAAAATAATTTCCTGGCGTGAATGAAAAATAAGCCAAAATCAGAATCAGAATTATATTTCTGAATTCACATGTAATTAAAATTGGGTGCTTTTGTTTGAATGTCCACGACAACAAAAAGCATTTCAATAACTGGGATAGTATCTGTTTAATAATTGAAAATTACTCCACCCGACCTTGGAATTGTGAAATTTCATCAAAAGGTTGATACACAACTGTAAGAAACAGTTCGGCTCTTTTCCCTGATCCAATTTGCGGAAAAATCCAATATATTCTGTCCTTTAAGACATATCTAAATGCAGTATACACACTTCACTTTATTCTCGAATTTTTTTGTGTGGCTTTCTTTTTTATAAGACAGACGCAATGGTCTTAAAATTTTGCTAAATAGCCTGTTTTACCAAAAGTAGAAGCCCTAAAATTAAATTTCCTCGGATAAAATACCACCATGGCCCGAACAAAAGATGGCACAAAATTGGGGTTTGACTGAATCACATTGTGAGTTGTTCCAGACACATTTGTTACTCAAATTGCAAAAAAAAAAAACAATCTTGTGTACCAACTTTTTCTTCCGAATATCCGGTAAAGATCGATCAAGGGGTATCCGGTCACTCGCCAATAAATTGAACTGGTTCACGCGGAACAAGGCGTTCATTTTTGCTTGCTGGTAGGTTGGGATAATAACAGGCAATCCCTGATCTCCGGAACCCTTCACGGGATTATATTCATTCCTGTTGACCATTTCTTGGAAATAGGTTTGAAAAAAAAAGACAATCCCGTGTCAGTATTCAAAATCAAGCGTTTTCGGTGAATCGATTTCGGGTTTACCTTCAGAGATATTGCCACCAGGAGCCACACCCGGGAGTTGATCTCCATTGTAATAACCCACCACAACGTGAATGCCACGTTTGTCAACGAACTCTCGCTGTGGCTTCCCCGAACTTGAATTGATAACACCTGCCCCGGATCCACGACCATACCTGGAAAATTAAAAAAGATAGTTAACAAAATGTTTCTACTTATTTTTTTTTACGGATTATAATGGCATTGGTCGTTGAATGCCATGAGCAAAAAATTATTTAGTGGTCATTAATTTTATTTTCATGAAGATTCGCTCAATATCGGTCTTCACAGGAGAGGTTTCAATTGATGAGGAACTTTGCACCCTTGAAAAATGCCCAACCTCAAATAATTAAGGGCCTTGCCCTGATATAGAGCAGCCATTTGAGTAGAAGAAAAAACTGCAGGCCGTGGGAATATTGTTAATTTTTGAAGAAAATTGTGGGTCACCCCACAGGCATATCACATGACTAACTAATGAATTCGTTCCAAGCAAAGTTCATCGAAATCGGAGTGGCTTATAACAAGGGCTTGGTCAAAAGTTCATGCTGAACTGTTGCACTGAAATATTTCATGCACAGGAACAGGAAATTATCAAGAATGAGAAGGTAAAAAAATGGCAGTGAAAAATTATCCCCGGCGTCTTTACAATACTGTAAAAGTGTACAGATTTTTAGTCGACTCATTCCCGCTAAACTAGTATTTCTTTCATGCATGCTATCATTCCAAGTAGAGGCAACACCTTCTATTGTCACTACAGAATGATATTAATATTTGCACACCCAAGTTTGCCTTTTTGGGAAGGTCTGGCCTTTAATGGCGAAAATACGGTAAATGCCAACAAACAAAAAAAAGCCAGAAATGCATTATGGAGTACTGGACGAGTAAATAATATCGCGCCAGTATCATAATTTTCAGAAGTTTATCGCGAAATGTTTTTTGATGAATGACATGGTCATATCTTTTGTGTCGAATGGAACAACGGGCGTCAGTTTCAAGAGCACTGCCCTTTCCCATTGTGACCGCATGATTTCCCCTTGAATAAACCAAAACGATTCAACGCACGAGTCACGCCAAGTTCACTCAAGCAAGCCATCATCAACAGCGGAAGCCGACAACCGGAAACTGCTCTCTTTCGTTTTGTGTCCCGAGAAACACAATTCTTGTACAATTTCAGGCTATTCTCCTTCCTCTTCTTGAAAAAAAAGGGAGTGCCAGCGACCTCCTAAAGATGGAGGTTGCACTCTTGCATGTCAAATGGTCAAGTGACCATCATCAAGGAAAACGAGGATGAACTGCAGTGCCTGACAAAAAAAAAGCGAATTATAGAGGACATAATTCAGTTTTTTTATAACGAGAATAAAAAAGCGGCATTATAGTACACGACCGGAGCATATGAATCACGTTAGAGTGGATAGTTCGTGAGCAACCTTCAAAATTTAATGTTTTAAACTAAGTCAAATGAAGTCGAAATTCAAGGAACCATAAAACAAATTCGAGTTACGGAAGCAGCTATTTTTTCTGGAAATGAATGTAAAAAATTACAAAAGCCTAAACTTTTCGGCCTTAAACTGCAGAATAAATGTGTTGACAGGATGCTGAACTTCGTGACAGAAGTTAATTGGACCAATTGGACTTTCACTTCTTTCAAAGCACATCAATCAGCATTCTTGTTCCTCTTCTCTTTCTTGAATCAATAAAATAATAGCCAAAAACGTCTCCAGAAAAATTCCCCCTCAGAATTCGTACAGGGGAATGCCTTCGAATTAATTCACTACTTCCATGGGAATTCAGACAGGGACTTGAAAAAAATTAAACAAGAGGTATTCGACCCAGGGAGGTTCCAGTTATCGAGGATCAACTTGATTGGCTTCATTCAAGCCAAAAAGACGTTCCTAATTGTTATGAAATGATGATGGTTAAAGTCGATGAGTAAAAAAATCTTGGAGTAGGTTAAGGTATCGGTCATTCCCCATCCCAATTTTCTTCTGTTTCATTAGTTCATGTTGGTTTGGTTTGGGACACACCCAATGCTGCAAACTTTTTTTTTACCTAATTCATTTGTCTTGTCAGCTGAGTCCAGATTATTTTTTTACTTGTTTAGACATTCAATAAAGCAAAGTTATTCAGGTATATCAATCACAGACTATGGCAGCCTTATATAAATATGCGTTACAAGCTTACACAGCCAAGTTATTTTTATTTTTTAATATGCAAACCATGCTCTGCTACCAATTTTGTGAGATATGATCCCAACAAGGACAATAATAAATTAGAATCATAAATGCAGTCAAGAAGGATTGATTAAATCAAACAAAACAATCTGCCAGGGAAATTGGCAGGGAAGTTCTTGGTAGAACTTCCAGAAAGAACAGAATAAATGTATTTCAGATGAATGGAATCACTGATGCAAATTTCACACAAGACAAATCAGGCCTTATTTGTCTTGTGGAATTAATCAACCCAACATTCCCTGAAGCTCCAAATGCTTCAGGGAATAATTGGCAACTGACTTAAGATGGGGAAATCTGTAAGCACTAAAGGAAGGATTACGCAATATGGAAATTCTGTGGAATTTCCCCCTTTGCAAGGAATTCCTGTTCCATAGCAAACGCATTTCTCCATTTAGGTATTCTCAATGTTATTGTGACACCTGTACCTTACAAGGGTTTCATGATGGTTATGACATCTCAAAATACGATGCGAAATTGTGAAACGGGTTTGGAATAATCAAGCGATGAATCCGATAAAAGGCAGAAAACAATACAGACAATATTACTGTACTTCAAAAAGCGAGCCTTTTGAAACGCTGTACAGTACAGTACAGTACAGTACAGTACAGTATAAGCTTTGAAATCTCATTTTAATGCTACACTCCGCAAACATTGAAACGAAAAGGAGCATGACGTCATCCCCTGGTATTGTGATGGGTATTCCTTTTGGGAACTTTCCCAGCTATAGCCGTTCCTTGTGGCTGCGCCAGGTTCCGGCCATCAACCTCGCATCAATTGCGCGGCATCCTGATTCGAGGGAACCCACGCGCAAATGGGAACAACCAGTGCTTCTCACGGTTTTCGATCGCGTTCGGCGTAAAAGCCTCAATTTTCTTCCATTTGATGCAATTTAATGCATCGAATTCGTTACCCGATCACAAAGAAATATCCAATTGAATCAGGTAATGTAAAATAAAAACATTGGTCAATTTCAAAAAAATTATAAGAATTAAGCTTTCGAATGAGGAATTTTATGGCTAAAAGTTCCTCATCAAAACAAACAAGACGTTGTTCTTTCATGCGCCGAGATCATTTCCAATCGCGTTCCTCGGAAAAGTGTGAATTTTCCCCCGTTTGACGCAATTTAATGCATCGACTTTGTAAAGCACTCACAAAGACCTCTCTTAATTGTATCAGGTGCTGTACAATAAAAAAGTTGGTCAACTTGAAGAAAAAAAAAAAAACGAAGCTTCCTACGGAGAAATTTCGCGGCTTTATGTTCCTCGGATAAACATAAGACGTTCCTCTTTTATGAGCCGAGATCGTTGTCCTTTCATATATAACAGGTGGAAAAGTGACCAGCGAAGATGAACGAATCCATGGTCGAGTGCATACGACAGGCCAGCATTCCCGTACTTCCGCTTGACACATCGCGTTACAAACGTTCTATTTTCCTTGGTAAAACTGGTAATTTATACTAGTGTTCCCCAACCCGTGGTCCGCGGACCAGCGTCGGTCCGCAGAAGTTTTTTGCCGGTCCGCGGGACAATTTCTTCAGAATAATAAATTTATAAAAAGTTGCGAAAATGCATTATCTTTACGAGAGATTTCTGAAAGATAATGACAGTTGAAATCATCTGTTGAAAAAAAAAGCTGGGTTTTCTCCCAAAAACACTTCAGACAAAGTTTCACCTGTTGAAATAAATTATTTTAATTTTTTTTTTACGAGGAACCTTTCTTGATGCCTACCTTTCTGATTTTTTGAAGACATTCCACTATATGGCTGCTTCATCTGTTCTAGATTCTGATTTTTTGAAGACATTCCACTATATGGCTGCTTCATCGGTTCTAGACTTAGTTTGTGCAAAAGAGCAGAAAGTTTTTGAATACCTCCTAAAAAGTCTTTAAAACAAAACTTTCTTCATTCCGCAAAACTTTTATGAAACTTTGCCAGTCTGCAAAACAAATTATGAAATCTGAAGGTCCGCAAAAATGGTATGGAACTTTGCAAGTCCACAGTCCCAAAGAGGTATAGCGGAACACTGATTATACTATATTAGTCTATGGAGAACTTTTCTTCCTTATAAGGTGAATTGATAATACTCGCTGAGTCGTTGTGATTGCTTTCATCATATTTCATCGTTTCTTCAAAATTAGCTTAGAGAGGAAAAGCCTGTTTACCAATTGACGGTTAAGGTAGACCTCGGAATATTCGGGCTTTGATTCATTATGCATCCTATGACCGTGTACGAATTTTAATTCATCGGTAAGAAACGAACTGACCCACATAAAATTACATTTCAATTTCATCAGTTCTTGTCCCTTCGACTGCTGACTGACTATCGGGGATAATTTCATATTTGTAAAAATGTTGATACAGCAGTATAACTTCACCGCATCAAATTTTAAAAGGTAACGATTGAATTACAGTACAGTATTTCATACTTCTCAGTTGAGCTCAAAAACCGGTAAGAAGTTTGCATTCCCCGCCAATTTTATTACCAGGAAAACGCAGATGGTAATTGCTTCAAAATTTCAAGTTATATTGAATTTAATTTTCAAAAATTCCGCAACGTTCAAAGTACTATTTTACTGCTGGTACACCAGAAAAGAAAATTCCCGAACTCTCCAAGGATTACGAAAATCGATCCACAACGTTGATGCTTTGTTTTTCAATCGCTTTTCCTCCAAGTTTATAAATGTCCATGTCTATCATGTTGCTTTATTCTCTCGACAATTCCAGAAAACCATCCAATACAGTTTTTTTGGAGTACCAGGCGCAACATTTAAAAAAAGTAATTTATCAGTGTCATAATCGATTACACCACAACTCGCACAGCGACAACTCACACAGCAACAACTCACATAGGGACAACTCACACAGTTCTTTTTTTTTTTACTTATTTTTCTTCTTTTTTTAATTCAGGTTCTGGCAAAAATTTATACCTTTCTTGTGTCTAGATTTTCTTTATCCTAAATTAATTGTATTCATTTATAATACAATTTTTATAAATTTTTTATATTTGTGTTTTCAACCTAGTCAAGGATAATTTTGTCCCAAATTCATTGTGTACATTTATCATGTTCTATATTTTAAATACTTTTGTTTTCAATCTATTCAAGGATAATTCTGATCCATGCATTAATCCATGTTCTTCCTTATAGGAATTGAGCCCCAGTCATTGTCATGGCTCACAGCAATTTTCCAAGTTTTCACTGGAATTTTTCAATTTCATTTCACAATCCTTTTTAAAGAACCCCTCTAAAACTGTGTGAGTTGTCACACTATGTGAGTTGTTGCTGTGTGAGTTGTCGCTATGTGAGTTGTCTCGTAACCCTGGGGTTCCTACGTGCGCATCATTGGGATACACGTGTCAGTCAGTACACATGTACTGGGATGGAAGAAAATTAATATATTCCTTATATTAATCCATCATCTCTTCCTGGTGTTATTAATAACATCAAATATATATATTTGCAGGGATGCAAATATTCTTGCAATATATTGGGGAATTATATCACATAATTTCCACTGATAACAAGCTAATAAAGTCAAGAAATGATCATAAACTAATTAGCTTTGATACTTTTTAACTGTTGCACTTATCTTACCTCTCTTCACATTCAAAGTCTTCTTGGAGGCTGGAAGACAAATCACGATGCATAAAAATTACATCTGGATGAAAAAATCTATAGTAACAGGTAATTCATATAAAAATAAAACATTTCTGATAAACTATTCAAAGATGTGTGTAAAGATTCCTCAGCTATTTCGTCCTGTAATATTGAGTCGAAAGAAATGAAGGTGGAAATTA